AAAAAAAAAAAAAAAAAAAAGAGTACGAGATATCAGCATTTAATTGTTTAAACAATATTAGCACAAACCTATCTTTTCAATGAACTGAGTGAAATTAGTGGTATAGCTATTTTAACTGTCTTTAAGACAAGCTATTTTAAATTTAGAGGATTAAAATATCCCCAGCTGCTAGGCATGGGGTCATGTGCCTGTAGTCCCAGCACTGCAGGAGGCTGAGGTAGGAGAATCACAAGTTTGAGCTCAGCTTTGGAACTTAGCAAGCTATCAAAAATCTGTGTCAAAATAAATAAAAATAGTCTGGGGCTGTAGCTCAGTGGAAGGGTCTTGGGTTCAATCCCCAGGACCTCAAAAATAAACTGACAAACAGGTCTACTAGCCAGCAGCTGCTCAGCTGAGAATATTCTTGGTCCTGAACCTGTCGTTGTTTTCTGATGCTCCACACATTACACCACCCTAGAAGGTTCTATCACACCCTGAATTTTGAGAAGCACGCATCTAACCCGAAGACTGATGAGTAACATGTGAGTTCCTTTCCTGTCAGAGGTTCCAGGAAAGGTGTGACCTCATCTGGCTTCCTCTTAAAGAGCACAGAGAAGTTAGCCAGACAAAGGGGTGAGGTGGGGATGAGAGATCTCATCAGAGGGCACCACTTTATAGAGTCTTGAGGCAAAAGAGAACACTACAAGTTCAGAAAACAACAACAAAAAAAGTACTGCAAATTATAAAAGGTACTGCAAATAAAAAAATTACTCTGAATATCAACCAAAAGAGATTAAAAAAATAGTAATAAAAGATTTTGCTTATTAATTTTTGAGAGGGCGGTTTGGAACCAGATTTTGAAGTTTCCATGATGCTGCTTTCTCTGACCCCTCTGACATTTTCTTTTTGCATCGTTTATTCATTCACTCAAACTTGCACACATTGGGCACTGTTAGGTTCCCATCACCTGCTGGTGAGTGAAACCAAAGTGTTCTGGCCTGAGGAAACGTGTAGATGAAACTGCGGTGGAAGTGGAGAAGGCAATGGATCTAAGGAGTCAGTGTGTACTTATAAACTGAGAAGATGGCTAAGAAGAATGCCATGATGGAAGACAAAGCGGGGAGCTGCAAAGTCACTGGGGTGTAAAGTGAGGGTATCAAGTGCAGAGCACCCCGCAGCCCATTTCTGGGTACCACGCACAACTTTCTGTTTTGGTGGGAATCTGCAACCTCCCCTCAAAGCCACCCTCTTCTACCTGTTGAATGTAACAGGAAAGTCTAGTTAACATTCCAGCTGCGAACTGGGAACGAGGCGCACTCTCCGGGTCCCACCAGTGCTACTTCAGGAGAGACCCCGTTACTGAGTGATTCTCTTAGACAAGGGGGAAGCAAAAAACTGAGCTGGTACTGGTGTATTCCAAGGGACAATCAGCAATTACAAACAGCCACTCGGCGTCGGGAGCAGCGCTAGGAGACACTGCAGCACACGCCATTGCTTTCATAAGATGTGTGCTAAAAACTGTGCCTAAAAACACAAAAGCGAGTGGCTCAGGCCCAGCCTGGCCGCGCGGCCTCCCGCGGGAGAGCGGCATTCTCGGCGGCCAGGAACCTTATGTGCCCGGGTCTCGCTGCCGCGCGGCGCGCGGGGAAGCTTTTAAGCGTGGGACCGAGAGACGCCGCTTGTAAACAGAGCCGGGCCGGTGGTCGGACGCGCTGTGGCGGCGAAGCAGGCTGAGTGGCTGGCGGCCTCCAAAAGCCTGCAGGCCCCGCAGGTGAGGGGGACCGGCCGCGGGTGAGCACCTGGCGGCTTCCGGGCTGCCTGGCCGGCCAGAGGGGGAGCGAAGGGACAGGGATGGGTGACAGCGTTGTGCGTGTCCGAGAGGCGCCCTGAGGTAGCAGTGATTGTGCTGTTTCTCCCCCGCATTGTTTTGTATGGAGACTGCGCTGCCTCGCCACGGGTAACGAGTGAGGGGCGATTGCGAGATGCGCGGTTGGCTTGTTTTTGTGAGTCAGGTGAATTTAGAGTAGAAAGTATGGTGGTCGCGATGGGTGGTCCTGCTCTGGGCGCTGTCGTTGCTCCCTCCCCAGGGTGGCGGGAGCCGCAGCTCAGCCGAGCGCCTGGGAACCGCGGTGGTCCAGTCGGCTCTGCCCGCTTTAAATGTATGGCAGATGACATCACATGACTGGTGACCGACGTGTGTTGGTCATGTATGAAAGAATTACTAAGCTAAAAAAATTAAGATAAGTGCATCTCAGACCTACCCCTTCAATAAAGTAAATTACTACTGGGGGATGCAGTCGGATGACAAATTAAGACTGGCCAATATGCACAGCTTGCAAAGCAAAACAAATTTGAATTTACCAGGTTAAACTGAGGTTGATTCATGCTGTTATAAACTTACTTGAAAGGTTTTTCACTTGCAAACCTTGGAAGGAGTTAGAAACACTTGGGTTTTTTGTTGTTCCAAATTTCAGTAATCATAGTGAATTGTGGTTTGTATTTAATTATTTTATTATAAAATTTCGTTATAAAATTTAGTGAAACTATTATCTCTACTGTTTTATCGAAGAATTATTTTCTTATTCCTATAATGGTTTGAGCAATCTTTCATTCTTACATCTGGTAATCTGAGCAATGTAGTTGAGGATAGCTGTATGTAATGTAACAACCACTGCTGATTCGTATTATTTTGTCTTGAGACTCTGTATCACTTTGAATGTTCTTGCTTTGATTTGTTTCTGTTTGTGATACTGGTATGCCGCTACTGTTCTATTTCTCTGTTTATTCCTCATTTACTACTCTCTTTAAAATAAAAAAAATTCCATATATAATTGGTGTGTCTATAAAATACTAAGTAGTTTTTTTTCACTTACTTGAAAGAAATTCCTTAACAGAAGCATGGCTATAGTCTCAGAATAGTCAATAAAAGTATGTCATCTTGGTCACATAGCCATTTAGGTAGGGAACAAATACTAGGTTAATTGCATGAGAGAAGTGTTTTAAAAGCATGCACTGAGAAATAATCTTAATACTTGATGAGTGTGTCTTTACAGTGAATTTTTTTTTGTGATGTCATGGTTCAAAGCAAGAACTACAAAGCCAGACTTGCAGAGCCTAAATTCCTACTTGGTTGCTTCTTCATGTAATCTTAGGCAGTTCCCTCATCTTTGCTGTTTCTCCATCTGTACAATGAGAAAAATAATTATATTGACCTCAGGGTTTTTATGAGGATTAAATATTTCTAAAGTTAATATTTAAAAGTGCTTAGAACAGTGCCTAGTATGTTGAAAGGACTATATAGGTATTTGTTAATAAATACATAAAATAAAAATACACCAATGTTGAAAAGTAGAATGGTGATTACCAAGGAAAGAGGGATGAGTTGTTGTTTAATGGGTATAGAGTTTCAGTTTTGCAGGTGAAGAGTATTCTGGGGACTTATATGTGTGCAAGTACTTAACAGAATGGTTCACTTTAAAATGATTAAGGCAGTAAACTTTGTTATGTGTATTTTACCCCAGTTAAAAATGTAAAACAACAGCATTAGCAAAGTTATGTACTCAGAATCTTTGTACACAGCATCTTGTCTTCAGCTGACTTTGCCATTGGGAATACAGTATACAGCTTCTAGCCATCACCAGGAAGATACATTTATTCATTCATGCAATTGAGATTTATCATAAATTATGAGAAGTAATACTGAAGATTATGGCAGGCACAATTCTAAAAGTGCCCCCCCCCCACCAGGATTGTTTGCCCTTATCCCTAGAACCTGTGTATAAATTAAGACAGCAGTCCTTGGGTTATGTATACTATGGCACAATTGAATTTAAAATGGGAGATTATCTGGGTGAGCCTAATTGATCATGGTGCCCATAAAAAGAAATCAGAGGTTTGAAGGCTGAGAAGATTTAGCGTGTTACTGTTTTAAAGATGGAAGAGTACTACTGAGAAAGAACTCACACAGCTTCAAGCAATTTGAAGGCTTCCCATTACTGAGCATGGCTCCCAGCTGACAACCAAAATAGAAATGGGAATCTCACCCCAAGGCCACTTGAACTGGATTCTGCGAACAACCCAGATAAACTTGGAACAGGATTCTTTACCAGAGTTTCTAGATAAGAGGCCAGCAAGATCTTCATTTCAGCCTCACAAGAGAGACCTGAGCAGAGAACCCAGCCAACCCCACCAGATTTCTGGCCTTGAGGATGGTGAGGTGATAAACTGGTGGTGTTTGAAGCTGCTCAGATTGTGGAGACTGGTTATGCAGCAATAGGAAACTAATATAGACCATCGCAGCAGAAAAATGGGCCAACGATTAGGAACAGACAGCTGGGATAGTTTGGAACCTGTCAACTGAGGACCTGGATGTCAAAAGTTTGTTCCCTGAGGTAGTGGTGTTGGGAGATGGTGAAACCTTTAAAAGGTGGAAGATCTTCACATCATGGGGGTATGCCCTGTAAGGGCTTGGGAGACTCAAGATCCTTTTTTATTCCTTGACTGGCAATGTAAGTAGTTTTCCTCCACTGTGCACTCTGGTGTGATGTGCAGCCTTGCCACAGGCCCAAGTAGGAGCTAATCCACTGGAAACCTCCAAAACTGTGAGCCAAAATTAACCTTTTCTCTTTATAAGTTGATTATCTCAATTATTTCATGATAGTGACAAAAAAGCTAACTATCATACTATCCATAGAAAAAATTAAATGGCAAATAGAATATAAAAGTGCATTCTTTACATTAGTGAAAGAAATGATAATTGAAACAATAACAAGGTACCATTTTTTTCAGCTCTGTAACATAGATTTCTAAAAGTTCTAATTCTTGCCAGGCATGGTAGAGCACATCTGTAATCTCAGCACTCAAGAGGCTGAGGCAGGAGGACTGCTATAATTTTGAGGCCAGCCTGGGCTACATAGTAAGTTCAAGCCAGCCTGAACCACCCCCTCCCATAAATAAATGTTCTAATTCTCTATATCAGTTAGCATGTAGTGGAGCAGACAATTTTAAATGTTATGAAAACCACACAATTGTTATAACCTTCCTGAAAAGTACAGTATATTGGTTAAATGTATAAAAAGCCTCAATAATGTTTCTACCCTGTGGTCCAGTAATTCATCTTCCAGGATATCTTCCAGAAATCAATCCAAAAGAACTTATAAGAAGTATTTTAAAAGTTAGTGCTCAAAGATGTTTAGTAGCTGGGCGTGGTGGCACACGCCTATAATCCCAGTACTCGGCAGGCTGAGGCAGGAGGATCGTTGCAAGTTCAAGACCAGCCTGGGCTACAAAGTGAGCTCAAGGCCAGCCTGAACTGCGTAGCGAGACCCTGTCTCAAAAAGACAAAAAAAAAAAAAAAAGATGTTTAGTATAACCTTGTTTACAAAGGTATTGTCCATAACCAAGATATCCAGTAACAGGAGAACAGATAAATTATGGTGCCATTGAAAGATAGGGTGTTATACAGATATTAAAAAGGTGCTTATAAAGAATCATAGCAGAGTGGAAATGTAATGGCAGTTATTGCTATGTGGAGGAGAATGCAATAGAAAAAAATATATACAGGCTGCCCTCACATAGGACTAGAAAGGGCTGAAGAGCCAATGTGGGGCAGTGCTTTTTCCCATTGGAGGGCAAATTAGTGTTGTTTATTTTGCCTCTTATTTTTCTATAGTTTCAAAATGCTGAACAATATATTTCTAGTATTTTGTAATAATCACAAATATTAAAAGATATCTGGACTGTGGGGAATACAATGAGTGAAAACATTTTACTGATTTTTCATTGTTATTTTCATTGTAATAATGACAATAAAAATTCTTAAATATGTGGTGGAAAAAATTTTTAAATGAGGTAGGAAATAATAAATATTGGAAAGATCAAAAATGAAGTTGGAATGTGTCTCTTGCGAGGTAATCATTGAAAGCTTTATCGTGGAAAGACCCTTGACTATCATTACAGAAGTAACACAAGGTGCATGGTGGTTGTTTTCTCATAGATCAGGAGATTGAGGCTTTAAGTAATAGACCTAGATTACTTATGCTAGTGAAAAGTAAAGAACTGTGAAGAATAATGATCATTGCCAGAGAGTGAGACAGAGACAGACAATAACTTGTTTGTTAGGACCAGGAAAACCAAACTCGACTATGGCCAGTAATGTCTGTGTTAAAAGTAGCCAAAGGCTACTATTTATTGAATATTTATCAGACTTAACTGTACCCTAATTCCAGTCTTGTGTACAGCCTTTTGAAGTTAAATCATTTACATATTTAAGAAGCAAGCAGATAGATGGCTGCTATTTTAATCACTACTTTCAGAAGACCTAATTTTAATAGGAACCTGGGAAGAGTTAGATCATTTGGGCAGAATTCGGGGGATTCCCGATCTCTAGACAGTTTCCGGTACTACTAGCTACAACTGCTCCTACTTTTATCGTCTCCTTGGCTCCCTTTCCTGTCTTCACTTCCCCTGTGTTCCCATAGCCCTAGCACAGAAAGCGTCTTGCCCCAGGGGCTGCTAGCTAATGCTGACTTGCTGCATGGGGAATGTTATCCCAGAAAAGATACTGCTTTTTTTTTAAAGAGTAAATTTAGTATTTAGTTCATAAAGACCTGCACTATTTTCTAACCTCTGGTGCAAGACAAATAATTTAGAGAACTAAGTAATGAGTAGGAGTGTGATAAAAACTGCCACCAGCAGTAAAGTCCACACACTATTTGCTCTTATTTAATTGGCTACTGTGCATCATATCAAACATAAAACCCCACATAATTTACCTTCCTAATAACAGTAAG